CTTTTTGCATATATTACAAGTATTATGACGTACATGGTTCATGTAGTATATTTATTGCATTTATTGCACTGAATCTAATCTGAGTATTTTGTATGCTTTGGGCATAAATTCCGCTTGCTAAAAATGCTATATATTCCAAACAGATGACATAGACTTTACAAGACTTTAAATTGAACAATAAATATAAAAGCACTTGTATTTTGCTGTAATTCGTTTTTTATTTTCTCTTTACAATTACATTTCTCCAAATAATATTTAAGCCTTTCGCACTCTCTAATAATAATCATTTTAAGTAAGTTATAATATATGATTGCACTACTTACTGCATTGACAATTAAATCGATTCAATTGTGTGATAGTGGTTTTAACATATAATATTAATTTAAAAAAAACTGAAATCATAACACCATACTAATAGAACACAAAGACAAAATAATAGAATGGTTATGTGCAAATTACCCCTATATTTATTTTTTCGATTTCTAAGATGTATATATATATATATATATATATATATATCCCCTTGCAACGTAAATACCGGAGTAATACTCTATGTTCTTTTGCTAATTTATAATTTATGTTTTAGATATTAGCTGATGGAAAAATAGATAAAACTGTTATCATACAAGGATATTTCTCAGTATTACTTCTTATTATCTTCTTGATGAATACTTTTCTCTATTGTGGGGCAGGAGAGCTTGTAACAGAGCAAGTAAGTTATATCTATTCTGTGCTTAATTTCTTTTACAAGAAATAAGAAGTTATTTAAATCTCAATTAACTATTATTAATATATTTAAAAATAATCCTTATTGAAGTTGCATGAATTAATATGTTTATATGTATTCTAAGTGCAATGCAGTATATCGTGCAATATGTGATCTTGAGTGGTACAAATTGGAATCAAGGAAGGCAAGAAGTCTTATTTTATTAATGATGCGAGCGAAATATCCTTTTTGTATCACTGCAGGAAAGATTTTTCCGTTAACAATGGCTACGTTTTGCAGTGTAAGATTATCTTATCTCTTTCTCTATTAATTTTACTTTGCTATATAATGGAATCCGATTTCTTTTCATATTTAATTTCTCTCTCTCTCTCTCTCTCTCTCTCTCTCTTTATTTACACACACACGCACGCACGCACGCATGCATATCGGATGTTCAGACACTCATATACTCTATTTAACAACAAGGGAAATAGTAATTTTGAAAAACATTTCGTACAAAAGTTGTTTGAAATCAAGTATGCATTACATAGGGTTATGCAATTGACCTTGGTTGGCGTGAAGGTCATGTCAAGATCGATTTGAACTTTTTAAATGGATATCCATAGCCCTTATTGCATGTTCTTACATACTGTTATTAATACGTTTTCGAAATACTGGTTATAAATCCTTTTTAGTTGAGATCTTGTTGAATTATGAAATTTCAAAATTTCAGTACGCTGAGCATTACCGTTACATAAGATGTACTGCAAGGAGATTGCACGATTGGAGACTTTAAAAAAACACCTCGAAGAGGTGTAAATCCGATCGTGTAACTTCCACCTAGTACATCTTGGGTAATCCTTACGCCGGCAGCACTGAAGTCTCAATTCAGGAAGATCTACTAAAAAGGAATTTGTAACCAGTGTTTCAAAAAAACGTGTCTTGACATCAACTACAAGAATATGCAATGAAAGATATAGGTTACTGTTTAAAAAATTCAAGTCAATCTTGGCATAATCTTCACGACGCCAACCAAGATCGCATATGTCCATGTAATACATTACTTGATCTCCAACTTTTGTGAAACAAAATTTTCAATATAATCATTTCCCTCGGTTTTAAATGGGATGTACGGGTGGTCTGAAACACCGATATGTGAGTAAATACGTAGCAACTTCTGATAAGTCAGTACGGTTTACGAAATTTTTCTGTATATACGGAATGCTATAATTAATTAAGAATTTATTTTTTGGGTAAGTTTTTTTAGCTTTGTCTGTAAAAATTGGAAACTGTAAAGTTTGCATACTAATTCCGATCTCCCCTACATAAGAAGCGATATTGGCAACGTATTTCTTAAATATCACTAAATAAAAATAATTATTTACAGATATTAAAAACATCGATGGGCTATATATCATTTTTATTAACACAACATGGTTGATATATTAATATTTAATAATTATATCAACTTAAAAATGGATACTTTCATAATTTTATACTTACAATGGACATATTTCTAGAAAACCTGCTATTATTATAGCTGTAGTAAAAATATAATTATGTTTTGTCTATTGGTGTTTATTATAAATTATATCATTAAGACATTTATAATGTAACAAATATTTTTATGGAACAAAAATAGTTCGATGGAAATGGGCCCTCGTGCATTATGTTTAACTTTAGCTCGCCACGCGAGAGTACAACATAAGCTATGCGATTTTGTACATTGCTATAACTTTTTTTATAATATTATTTGATCATATGGATTGAAGTTCAAAAGAAAACTGAACTATTCATAGATATATAATATAATAATAAAGTATGTATAGTACAAAATGTATAGTACAAAATTTCTTCTTAATGTTCGTCTTTGAAATACATTACACTTAGCGATAATGTTTTATTAAATTTGATAACAACTGTATTTCATCAAATCAACATAACAAGATGAATGTACTTACGTTATTATAACTATATGAGTTTTATATGTACTTCAGTTTTGAGAAAAGAATTTTCTGCCTTATATCTTTATAAACAGAATCATGCAACTAAAACAAATTTGTTATCGTATTTCGAGAATGTTAATAGCTTTGAAAGTTATCATACAGTTGCAGTTTTAAGATATCAAAATTTTATCATTGGAAATGTCTGGGCAATTTTCAAATATGAATTATAATCTTCTTATAGTCCAGAGAAAATATTTTATCACGTTTCCTATAATAACAAATATGTCTTTAAAAGAGATATTTAAAAGATGCGTGTTATACAATGCACTATACAATTTCACGTCATCTTTTTTTTTAAATATAATTTTTGTTGGCTAGTACAGAAAACCTCATTAATGATGTAATAACGTTATTTCTCGTTTCGCAATAAACGCATATATAATGAAGCAACATGAAACATGGAAAAAACTTTCTGAGTAAGTATCGACGAATTTATAATGTGATGCAACATTTTTCTATCTCTTATTTTATTAGATCAGACATAAACGATTTTATAATTTGAACATTTATAAAATTCTTTCTTACCACATTAGTAAATGTAACTAGTAATAGCATTCTTAATATTTAATGTCGCATTTGACAGTGCTATCGAGTTCTTGCATTTGTGTAGAGAGCATGCGTGATGATCATTTAGCATCATACTCCGGAAAGAACAAGATGTTCTAATTTTCAGCATGGATATTACAAATTCTTCAGGATACAGAGGTACTAACTTCATATTACATTTTTTTCATATTAACCATACTCAATATATGTACTAAATTTCTATAATTTTGCGTTATAAATCCTTTCTTGAAATACTGCATTATTTTATTTGTTGTTTATTTTTCTTATGTATAAATATTTAATAATTTAAACGTTATATATTAAATATAAATATATTATATTTGCAACTATTATCGAAATTGCTCATATTGTATAAAAATTTATCAGATTTTATATGGGCAATTAATCTACCTCGTTTAGCATTCGAAATGGTAGGCTTGTGGCCTGAATACTACAAATGTACTAAAAAAAATTTGTGGGCAGAAATTTGGGTTGCCATAGTTATCATGTCATTAATATTTATTTCTAATATTCCGATGATATGTGCAATCGTACAAGTTTGGGGTAATATGATACTTGTGATAGACTATTTACATACAACATTACCTCAAATAATAGTATCAGTGAAATACATTATCATTCGGCGAAAACGAAAAGGTACGCACAGCATTATATAAAATAAAATATTTAACATTATATTCCATTGTTTTATTGAACCATTTTATAATAAATAATTTTAATTACAAATATTGTAGAGTAATAAGAAAATAGGATATATATGTATAATTTACTTGTATGTAGCAACATGGAAATAAATTATAAAATGTGCATGATTTTTTTTGTTGCAATAATTTATAAATAATAACATATGTTTAAGTAATTTAGATATTAACATTTTTAACAATACTTACATTTTATCTATAGCTATTTATATTTTCAAGTTCTCTTATCAATTGTGAATATGATGGCAGAAGATTGGATGACATTTAAGCTGGATAGAGAAAGAAATGTGATGATTAAACGAGCACAAACAGCCCGACTAATTATGACTATTGGATATGTTATCATAATAATAGCGCTCTTAACAGTAAACTTTCTTCCTTTCTTTGATATTCATGTATTATACGTAATGAATTACACGGATCGGCGCAAACTGTTACCATTGAAGACGTATCACTTCTACGATACAGATAAGAGTCCGCAATTTGAGTTAACATTTTTTATTCAGATTTTGACGACATTGTTTGCAGCTATCATTTACATGTCTGTAGATATCTTTCTAGTTGTTATCATTCTTCACATTTGTGGCCAGTTAGAAAACTTTAGATACCGATTAATTGATTTGGTCTCGTACAGAGATTTCAATAAAATTTTAAACGAAATCGTAACGTTCCATTTACGTCTTATCAGGTATGAATTTTTACTATGACAATAGAATGTTAAACGACATTAATTTAGAAACACATTGTAAAATATTTCTTTGTACACATTTTAAACTTTGAATGTTAAAATTGTTTATTTATAGTTATACTTCTTATGACAATAATATTAATATTGTGTGTAACTGTGAATAATATATATTTTTATTTATTTCCCAATACAGTAATCATCTTATTGCATACTTTGTTATATAATAATTCTTATCACATTTGCAGTTGTAAAGCATGTTTGTCAAAAACATTTTTATTGCCATATAATTGAAACAATTGTATTAATATCATTATAATTTTGTTGGAAAAAACTAATTAAGAATTTAGTAAATGGTATCAAATAATCGATGATATGTATTTTATGTTTAAATATATGTATATTTTTTAAAATACATAGACTTTTACACACACACACACACACACACACACACACACACGCACGCACGCACGCACGCACACATATTAGAAAACCAACAAAAAGTTCCAAACCTCTTAAATAGCTTGAAAATTTAAATATACCTACTATTGTCTTTTTTTTCTAAAAAATTAAAAATTTCTGCCACTTGTGCGTAAGATCTCACCTCATTCTGACATCATTAAAAAATATATACACTCCTAATAAGTTATCATTAATATTTTTAATAAATACTGTACAATTAAAGATAATTATGTAGGAAAAGAGAAGGAGAGAAGAGGAAGTAGAGACACATAACAGGCAAGCTTAAACATATACATACGACTTCGACCGATACATCTGAAGTAATACTGATGCCAGCAGTATTGTAACCTTCAAACTCATAACTCGAAAAGTATTGACTAAAAGAGCTTTATTAGAATATTCTAAAAAACTAACTAAAAAACTATTGACATCAGTTATTAGATTTTGAAATAAAAAATATTTTATTTAAAAAATCAATTTGACCTTGACTTTGGTGACGCCATCCGAAGTCAAACTATGATAGTATCAGTAAATAGATCATTTTAAAATTACAACTTTTGTATGAAACATTTTGCACAGAAATGCTTACTTTATAAGATATTTAAAAGGTCCGGAACTTTTTGTACATTCTGTATATATACAATAAATATATATATATATATATGTATATATATATATATGTATGTATGTCGAGAGAGAAAAATGTCAATGTAATTTAAGATTACACCAATAAAGATTCTAATATTCGTACTCACTTTGGCGATAAATCAATCGTATTTTTGCGGGTACATTATTTGTATGTATGTATGTATAATATATATATGTATATATGTATGTATATTTTATTGATTTAATTATCCTTTTTAATAATTTTATTCGTAGATTTGCCGACAATATTGAAAATACATTCTCTTTACTGATGTTAGTATTGATATTTTATTTTGCTGTGGTATTCTGCCTAAGCGGATTTCTATTTACTATTGTAAGAGTCAATAAAACAAATACGAGAAAATATTTTATAGCATACATAAGGTAACTCTGGTATATTTGCCGCACAAAAACTTTACTAACAATAAGCATCATTTACTATTTTTAAGTAAATAATAACAGGATTGAGTGAGTTACTTTATAAAATTGTAACTTATAAGTAACTTTTTAAGTCTTATATGTATTTGTTATAAAAATTAAGTACAAAATGTAATACAAAATTGGAGTAAATGATAAAATATATATTATACAGATTTAAATACGTGAATTTAATGTAACTTTTTCAATTCTGAATACTAATAATTTAATAATAAGGTAAATAAATAACCATATACCAATAGAAACTTTGTGCTGTTTATTATATTAGGTGTTGGAATTAATTCGTAGCGTTTTTTAATGAAAGAATGTTATTTATTTCACATGAGCATTAAAAAATACATTAATGAAAGTACTTCCCATCACTTGTAAAACGCTACGAATTAATTCCAACACCTAATATAATATAAAAATAATATTAGAAATTGTTGTTCGAAATACTTACATTTCAAATTAAAAAAAGAAAACTTTGAAATTTTTGCCTTTTTGTCGTATACAGAAGTGGGAAATACAATTACTTAGCAAGAAGTAGGATATACAATTCATGAAAAATTTACCAGTAATACTTATAAATAGAACGTAAAATGCTTAACTAACAAAATTTTATTTAAGAATAAAAATGATGGATAATATACGAAGTATATATAATAGATAATTATTCTAATCTATTGTGCATATATTATAAGCATTATGACATATATATATCTCATGTATTAGGTGTTGGAATTAATTCGTAGCGTTTTTAATGAAAGAATGTTATTTATTTCACATGAGCATTAAAAAATACATTAATGAAAGTACTTCCCATCACTTGTAAAACGCTACGAATTAATTCCAACACCTAATATGCATTTATTGTATTTAGACTGGATTGTTCCACCTTTAAGTAAACTTCAGCTGATTATCTTACTCTACTGATTATCTTACTCTCTTTCTTTCTTATGCTCTTACTCTTTTTATTCTTTTGTTTATTCAGTAAATTACTTCATAGTTCAATCGAAAATGAAACAAATGGTCTTAATGAACTAAATCCAATCTGCGTACTTTGTATGCTTTGGGTATAAATCTGCTAACAATGTCATATATTCCAAACAGATGGGATATAAGATATTAAGCTGAACATTGAATACCAGAGTTAAACACTTGTATTTTGCTGTTTGAACTCCGTTCTTTACTATCCCTCTACACATATGTATCATCAACCTTTTCGCATTCCCTACAGTAATTATTTTATGTAAGTTATGATATATGATTGCACTACTTACTATATAACAAATCATCGATTCAACTGACAGTGGTTTTAGTAATATAAATAGCAAAAAACTGAAATCATAATACAATACCAATATAATATAGAGGCATAATAATAAATAGAAAGAATAATTATGTGCAAATTAACTAAATTTAAATTTTTCTGATTTCTAAGACGTACATCCCCGCGCGGCTTAAATACCAGAGTTATGCTACACTCCTTTGTTACCTTATAATTTATGTTTTAGATAATTGTTGACGGAAAAATAGACAAAAATGTTATCGTACAAGGATATTTCTCAGTATTACTGTTTATTATCTTATTGATGAATACTTTTCTCTTTTGTGGAGCAGGAGAACTTATAACAGAGCAAGTAAGTTATGTACTTACAGCTTGATTATACTTACACAAAAATTGTTTTAAAAGTGATGCATCACATCTTTTCTTGGCCAATAATAAAAGTGGAAAAGTAAAATGGTACATACTTTAAGTTTGTTGTAACTTTTATGTAAAATTACATGATATTCTGATAGATGAAGTAGTTATAATAACTTTTCTAATGGCGTCTAACTTTTCCAACGAGCTGTAGGATATGTTCTGTTTCACATTCGCTCGCTGTAAGCATTAGTTCATTCTTGTTGTCTATTAAATATTAAACAAAGTTAAATTATGCTTACAAGTACTGTAAACGCAAAACGGAGCGTATCCATAATTGCATTTTTTATCGCAAAGAAAGGAACTGGTAAATAAATATGATGCATTACTTTTTGAACAATCCTTGTAATACACATAATAAAATAGTTATAATATAAATATATATATATATAAATATATATATATATAAATATATATAAATATATATATATAAAACAAAATACATTACAATAATATCACTATGCTAAAACATTCTGTTATAATATATCACGTATTATTCCAAGGTTATATTGTAGTTATATTTCTGTGTTTGCTGAGTAATTTATATTCTTTACAGACAAATAAATTTTTGAAAGTATGAGAAATGTTTTCATCAAGAATATACATAAATATAAATCATAACTTTCTAATAATTATATAATAATAGTAAATTACATAAAAACAAGCATTCCAAGACATTAAAGAATAAGAGAGTATTAAAATCAGTAGCACTCAAATGCCACGAAAGGTCACACGATACTAGTTAGAAACTCTTTTGCAGGTTACTTATCAAAGCTTACGGAATTTCAAATAGCGAAATTTTTAGGAAACACGACGCGAGTGATTTTTTTAAAGCGATAATGGCAATTATAAAGATTAATCAATATTGTTTTTTAAATTAAATTATGCATGGAAAGAGTAATTAAATAATTATAAGTCATTTTGTATTATTATGTATGTGCTATATTGTATTTGCTATTATTAATTTTCTCTATGTTAAAATAAATAAAATATTTAAAAATGTATATATCACAAATATATCGGTTGACTTCTATAATTTATTCTTAATTTCTTGTATAAAAAAATTTGAATTATTCTAAAATTTTTCCTGTTATTATATAATTAGTAATATTATTTGAATAGCATCACAAACACATTGATTTTTTAAAAATTTGTTATGTATAGAAAAGCAAATCTAAAAAAAATTGAATTTAAGAAATATTTTCTTGAAATTTAAGAAAATCATAACTAAACTAAACCCAGATAATACGAAGTATCCAAAATTGGAATATAAGACATCTTTTGTGACTAAAAGATGTCTTAAAGACATCTCACTTTTGGACTTTGTATTGTCTGGGAAGTTTCTATAAATACAAACATATGATACACATTCTGATTACAATTCAAGAAAAATTATTGCTTATCGCTTACAAAATCTCTATCACAGCAATATTTGAAAATCATGTCCACATTTGTGTTTCAACTAACAGTTTACGGTTCATCAGCAATACTATTACAAATACCGTTAATATGTCAGAAAATGATTCAAAGTATCAAATCGAACAGTCATGTCCACATGCGCGTCTTTTTTAATGTGCATTATCGAAAGTATATTTGGTCGTTAAATTCATAATAGTACTGCCGAAAAAAAAAACTGATACCAGAACCGTGAAATCTATCTTGAACACAAACGGGGTTCATAATATTTCAAAGTTACTGGTAACGTCGTGTTTTCTAACTACGCCACACGCTGAACGTTTAGGCGTAGTACTTTCTCTTTCTAACAGTGCAAATCCCCGACGCTTACCTTTCTTGATGAGCAAGCTAGTGACCCTCCGTAGCGCCTCACGAGTGCTGGAGGCGGAGCTGTGCTTACTTTGGCCGAAGTATTTGTTGGGTGTGATGTTTGTGGGTAGAGTCAGCGGCTTCCTCTGGTCCCCGGTGCTCGGTAATCGTGCATCATAGGCGTTGTTCAGCCGTTCGAGATGTTCGATTGACGCCGGCCGTGGCTGATTTGCCTTTCTGGTGGGATACCATCCGCGATTCGGGCCCCCTGCCAGTCGGAGAAGCTCAGTGCCGATTATGGCCTGCTCCAGACCAGGATTGTTTCGTCGATAGCTGAAAGTGAAGCAACAAGATCAGTACAGAATGACTAACTTGTTATGCATAAAGCATACCTAAAAAGGAACGAATCCAAATCAATTTTAACAAATGGACTAAGTATCTTGCCCTTATTTTTTAATCGCTTTTTGTGTAATAGAAGAATTCTATAAAAATTCGAAAGATTAGTCAATCATAAAGCATTTTTCAACAAGGAAAATGCCTTATGATTGACTAGGATGACCAATTCTAATCTAGGTAAATTAGAACATTGGCAAATTGAAAAGTAGTACACCAGAGATATGTATTTTTTATTCCTGCATTCTTTGAACTGGTGCACACGGTGCAATAAGTTGAAGTGATATAAATATATGTTCGTTTCACTTCAACTTATTGCATCATGTCCGTTCACAAAATGCAAGAATAAAAAAGATCTTAAATAAGATTATCACTTATTGGATGCAGTACTATTTTCATGGACAACCGATCTTGTCAATAAGGTGACCCATTGTGCATAATAACAGAGATATAATCCCATCACATAATAATCTGAGATTTCAACCAATCAGAAATTGAGTTCATTTACAGCGTGAACGAGTCACGGGAATTTCTACAAATGAGCTCAAAACTTGATTGGGAACGGCGCACCTATACACAGTTCAATTGCACACAGCACTCATATCGCTTTGTTCCTAGTAATTTTTCACTGCTTCACCAATGAAATTGTATTATTTTAAATTAGCCAATTAGTAATATGAGCAATTGATATACACGCAACAGATCCTTGTGCTATACTTTCAATTCACTGTGCATCTGTCAAAATAGGTTATTTAATTGCACCATGCTTCATAAAATGTTCATAATATGTGCCTTATTTGTGTTTTCAGGGAAGACTGAAGCCGCCTGTATTATCGATAAAGTTAGGGTTTTTGTTTGAAATGCCCAAATATTTTTGCATTTAAAGTGGGATAGATATATTGTATATTTGCGCGTTGAAAAGGGGGAGAAAGCGAAGATGCTGAGTGCAAAAAGTGCAAGCAACGCGAACAGATCTCATGATAATTTTTTCGTATTAATTTTACTAAATAAAAATTCCTTTTTCACGATAAAAATGCTAATATATCTGCCTCTGATGTATTTTGTGTCCAAAGTTGAAAAAAAAAAGAAATTACAAATTTCTTTATCCATTTTTTACCTCTATATGGCTAACGTTGTCAGCTTATTAAAACATTTATTTTGTAGAGTAAAAGTTATGCAGGTTATATGCTCAAAATTAGAACAGAGGCAGCTACAAACTTTTATGTATTATACTAGACTGATAATGCTTCACGTTTCTTTAAAAGTGCTGTCTGCACGAATTAGATGCAAAATAAGACCATTACGTGACCACACCGAAAAGAGATGCCAACAGGTCATGTGACCAGCCTCTTCATAATTGATTAAAAATGTTGTATATATATCTCTGTGATTGATTCAAGATGTCGTATATTTTTCTCTGTGATATGGAATGCGTGAACTGACATGGATCTTATTTTGAGCATATATTTTTGGCAAATTTTAGACAGAATAGTTAAAGAGACAAAGTTAGCAGTCTAATGTAATATATAGAAGTCTGTGAAAGCAAATGTAGATAATCTCCAGATGCGAAAAACGCATAGATGGGGTACAGATGGAATCGAACCCGGATCTTTAAATCACCCTAGACCTAAAGCCATAAGTGCCATCTTCTGTACGTTCTGTTTGATATAATGATATTTAACAATAGGCCTAATTAGATAGTATCATTAGTATTATTTTGGGATTTTTTTATCATAATGCGGTATAGGAAAATGATAGAGTCGGAGAGGACTGTTCCTACGTCCCAAAATGATTATCAAAAAGAGTGCATCTCGACACGTTGAAAACCTAATGCTTGAAAAAAGAGTGTCCGGAAAAGCCGGATATATGGTCATCCTATAATTAACCAACCTTAATTGATTACACAGTGGAGCATTTAGTACCTACAACCGTTCTCTGAGTGCTCAGAAGCTCTTGCTCCTGTTTGATCTATATTTCTGAATTTAACGGAATATGCCTATCAGATACACCCAATGTAACACAATGAATCATTACATTCTTTGTGCATCAAAATAGGATAAAATAATTCACTGTGTTCTTGCTGGAAAACGTCCATAATAATACTGTTTGATAAATTAAAATTTTTTTTTAGACCATGAACGGATTAGAGTGATTCTTGCAGATTTTTTGTCGCTGAAAATAAATCCGTAAATGAAATTGTTGATTCAAGTTTTTTGGAAAATTGAACTTAAAAGTGCATTTTTAAATACCTTTGAGCTAAAATTTTTTAAAAATAATGTAATAATTTCATTTTTGCTTTTAGCGACAAAAAATTTATTAAAAATTATTTATTGTTGTGTATTAGCTGCTTTATATAAGAAGTAACAGTTACAATGAAAAGAGAGGAACTTAAATTTGATTTTTTTTTTAAAAGTGGCAGAATTTTCAATCTTTAAGAGATTCCATTTAAAAACATTTAGAGAGTACATACATAAAAATTTTCAGTGAATGCTCAATAATTCTAATTGGATCTTGCCTTTGGTACGATTGGTTCTTTGCCGGATTTACATGTAGGAACTAATAATATTAAAGAATCACTCAGTGTTTACTAATCAGTTTTCTCTACTGAATATAACCAATATCTATTCTGATATTTTTGCAAAATAAATAAGGAAATATTGATGCTTACCCGGTAGCTGTGGTAGGTGCATACCAGCCGGGTTGCCGCCTTGACTGCGTAGGATTGCCAGCATGTTGTGGTGTTCTAGGGATATCGCTGCCCCTGGCGAACACTGGGGTCTCCGGTAAGGAACATGATGTTTGCATACCGGAACCAGTGCTGGTAACGACGCTGCCACCGGTATGCAGACCACTACCGTTGTTGCTGCTTCCGGAAGAGCACGCCTCCGCTGATGGCGAGTGCCTTTTCGTGAACGGTCGTCGGCGAGATGGTCCTGGTAAATCGGTAGGCAGAGTTCTTCGTTCTACAGGTACCTGAAGAACAAAAGGACATTTTATTAATAAGAATGTATGCGACAAGAAACATATCCTAAGAAATATAATAATTAATAATACTATATCTCAAAATTTTAAAAAACTTATATATAATAATCTTAAATGTAATATATGTGCACTTGCACACAATTCAATTGCACAGCACATACCTCTTACATCGGCTGATATCAAGTAAATTTAAAATTAATAAATTATTAATTTCAAATTAATCTAATTAAAGAAATACTATTAATAGAGTTAATTATATTCAAAGATAGATATCTGAAAAAAATGGACGATGTTTTATTTAATAAGAAAATATTTTGGCGAAGTATTTATATATTAGGTGTTGGAATTAATTCGTAGCGTTTTACAAGTGATGGGAAGTACTTTCATTAATGTATTTTTTAATGCTCATGTGAAATAAATAACATTCTTTCATAAAAACGCTACGAATTAATTCCAACACCTATAGAATAAACCCAGGTAACAACAAGTAGTCGTTTTGACATCAATAGTCATTTTAGTTTATTGATATTATGTTACCTATTTAAATTGTAATAATGTAGTCATCTTTTTGACCAATTAATAACATTATTTATTCATTCATTCTACCACATATTTACATTCATTCTACCACTTATTGACATCGGATGTATTGGATCGGAAATAACTAATTAATGACATATTAGATAGAACCTGAAGTTATCAAAAGAATTCATCGCGCACTCGGCGCTTTATCTGCTCGACTTGTTGATAATAAAATCATATGTAATTAAGTCTTCGAATTTCATTCTCCAACTCAAGAGACATATTCTTAATGGATTAAAATATTAAATTGTGCAAAAAAATTCGATTTTTTCCGTTATACTAATTCTACAATGAGTCGGTAATCGGTAGTCGGTAGTCCCAAGTCTTATCGGTGAAGTTGATCAATAGCTGACCAATAGCTAATTGGCCAACTTCATCAATTAAGACTAAAACTTCCGACTACCAACTCATTGTAGAATCAACATTACATGAAGTACTCCTCTCTTAAATATTTTGTGTATTATGACCGTAAATTATTAAATCCAAAGTATTACAGCAACATTGCAAAGTTCCAATTATATTGCAGTAAGATAGCAAATGTTGCAATAATGTAATACTAACAAGAAACCCATAGAAATGTTCCTCTTCGATTTTGATGAGCTAAAAATGTTTTTTTCTAGATAAAAATAAAGGACATTTTTGTTATAAGGGGCAAATCACACTTTTAGAACATGCAACACTCCTTTGAAGAAAATCAGTTATCCGCATATCATTAAATTATCAGCAATCTGACTTTTACCTAGTCACGACTAACATGTTTTATTAACTGATTTTAATTAAAATGATCTGTGTAACTTTATTTCAAAATTTCTTATAAATACGATTTCTCTATTCTTTGTTAATATTCCTTCTCCTTATATGGCAAGTCACTCTCAATTCATTGAATTAAATATCCTAAAGATTTTGGTGCAATGTATATACCGATTTTAGAATTTCTTACGTATTATTTTTACTACCAAATTTTTGCACCTCACTTTGAATCATCCAATCTATTAGTGACTATCTATGTAGAGGGAAGAATGTATTAAATCTTCAGAAAAGCAATGCATCGCTGATGATTCCAAAGCGAGTCGAAATATTCGACATATGTATTAAGTACCAAAATTATAAGTTTAATTGCGTTCTAATCTCGTTTGCGTATTTATTATGGTAGTATTAATTTTTTATTATATTATATATAAAATAAAAAAAGTATAAACGAGCATTTCATATTACTATATGGTAAATATGTAGTTTAGGAGAGCTTCCCCTCCCCCCCTCCCCAATGACCTTGACCTTGACATATGTTGTCAAGGTTATGACCCTGAGAGTGAGCTTGAGAAACCGTCAGACGTCACTCGTTAAAAAGTTATAAACAAAAGAAGTTTAAGAAATAACATCACATTTCTGCTATACAAAATAAAAATTTGACTTCTATTCTACTTCCCTGTCTGCTTGGGCGACTCCCATCCCACCTCCCCTCCTGCTTGGGGACGCACGACTGTCACCTATATTTTTTCAAATGAAAATCGTGCGCCTCTAAGTAGGGGAGAGGTGGGAGTCATTTTAGATGAAAGTTGTGCGCCCCCAAGCAGGAAGGAGATGGGGTGAGAGTAGCTTCAGGTGAAAGTCGTGCGCCCCCAAGCAGGGGAGGGATGGGAGTCGCTTTACGTTGAAAGTTGTAAAATACACTTTAAAGCAGAACATTTATATTTTATATGGTCGAAAAAAGATATTATATACGTTATTTCTTAAACTTTTTTTATTTATAACTTTTTAACGAATAATGTCTGACGATTAAAACTTTCTCAAGGTCACACAAGGTCATGACCTTGACAACAATATATCAAGGTCAAGGTGGAGAGAGGGGTCTTCTAAGCTACATATTTACCTACTATACATATATATTATTTATAATATTTATCATACATACAATATTATTATACATTATTATTATTTTACCATATAAACAGTTACATAAAAACTTGCAAGTAATCTGAAATGGGAAAAATGCAACTGTTAATCCCCGTCGAGAGACCAAAATTGTACGTTTTATCCCCGAATGAATACTTCAAACAAACTAACTCACCTCTCGCCTGGAATTATTGGTGGTCGGTGTACGTCTCCCCCTGGTAAAACCGGCATCCATGGATCTGGTATTCAAAGAAGCCTTATCTTTCGGGTCGATGATCGATGGAACACGATGGGGTGGTACCCTTGGCCTGTACTCTACAGTTCGACTACTGCTGTGACCCTTGGATTTCAATGGCGTCATCACGGCGTTTTGGCCGACATCCGAGCAACTTTCTTCATCAGCTTCCTCAACGGGCGAGGGCGGCAATGGCGGAAACTCCATTACATCGACATTGACCTGTCAAGATACAGCAAACTTTCAGAATGAAGCGATTTCAGAATGAAGCTAGTTTTGAAATCAAGAGAAAATTTTATCAACTTCATCGATGAATAAATTCATCCCTCACAAAAAGTCGCATTTGCTTGCAATGTAATCATAAAAAAATGTTTAGATTCTGTTCCCGAAAAAATAAATAAATTTATGGAAAATCAGTCTATCTCTGCATCTAAGTTAGTTCATCGTGAATCAGTTTCGCGATTTGTGAGAGCAATAAGCTTGAAGATTAACTATTTAAAATAATGTTTTATCAAAATAGCAGTTGAATAGTTTATACCCGTCATTAATATTTCAAAAGTTCGTAATATACACGTAAAGAGTTCTGAAAAAAATTCTATGATTTATAAGGCAAATAGTATTTATTAAATTGAACAAATGAATTGCTTGATGAATGTAATATCAGGAGCCAACCGGTTGGATTCATCTTTCTAATATTAAATAAAGCAAATGACTGCTATTATTTATCATATATGAATGCTTTTACTGTGACAGATTGTATATGACTCAATAAAAATACTATAGAGTCGTATGATATCTCTCTACGCGGAAATTTCCATCGGAAAATTTAATCTCGCACAGCTTTTGTAAACATTAGAGTGAAAATGTATAATATAAGATAATCTGTTTTCACATCGCTTAATAAATAGGAAGAAAACAAATCATTTGCTTTACCAATCCTGAAAATCACTTCTATTTCTGACAGAATCGATTTTTTGAATGATCATTAGGATTTTTCATTCAGTTTATTGAGTAGCACTATTTACTTTACAAATCCTAAACTTTTTTCCAAATATTATATTGTGTTTTGACAAACATTGTGTTTATTGTGAGATATGTATAGTCATAGATTTAATTTTACATCAACACAAAAAGCCTCTAAAGTGTTCAATATACAAATTTTCAATGGAAACTGGCTAGACTCAGAACCTATAATATGATGAAAGACTTTCGTGGAAATATGGGCATGAATAGTTATTTACCTCGATGACAATGTCAGTGAGTTTGATATTTTTATTGAAGCAATGAATCGAGTTCACAGTTTTGTATTTGAGAAATGTTTTCAGCAGATCGAAAAAATAACTAATTGCACTTAAAGAAATAGTGATTGGAATTGTATAGTTGACAACTATATAAGTTTTATATGCAGAATTAATGTATATATATATATATATATGAATTAAATAAACTATTTTATAGTTATTGCAGCTATAAAATAGTATATTCAACTATGTATATTAATTCTACATAATACAAAATTAGTTTAGCGTCACCTAATTTAATATAGTTGCTGTTATTATATTTTTCTCTGAATATGATTATTAATAATGACATTTATTATTTTTTTACATTTTTAATTAAAAAAGGCGAATGTATCTCGAGGAATTTTGATCACGATTTATGTGCCAATACTATACCTATAATTTTAAAACAAAAATGTAATTACTTAAAATGTTCTAAATGAGAACTGATCGAGAGAGTTAAAGATATTAGATACATTTGATATAACATTATATGATATACATTACATGATAAAAAATTAAAACCTTTTACTAGAATTAATTACGTGGAAATGAGTAAAAACGGATTCGCAGGCAACAAGCTGTACGCGCGGCAGTTCCTCAGATACTTCCACATTTCACGACGAAAAATGCGATCGTAGAGTCAGCATTGCTAATGGAATCCTATTTTATAGGGGTAATGCTACCAATTTATAGATGGGGCGGCCCGCTTCGATCCTAGCTGTTCGACATCTTTTCACCATCGCGGCACACGCCCACCACGAACCGTATAACTTCCACATTTTTCACGACGCAGATGCACCGTAATAGCTCTTATCGTAGAGATAGACTCTATTTCCGCTGCGTCTTTTCGCGTCAACATTTTAAGCGACACGACATAGGCGTAAAAGGTAACGCGCGGTTGATATTCGTGAGATATTTGATTTTCGCGAAACTCACTGATTCCACTCCTACCTGAAATTCCGGATTCTTTGAATCCTCCAGAATAGCGTCGATCACGTTCTCGATCTGCTTCTGATCGTTTTTATGATTCTCGATACCATTCTGGCGCAACCGCCTGCCGGACGAATAGACGACATCAGTGGCACCGTTCAGTTTTCTCCGATCCTCGAAGTCCGCGTCCGAGCTAGTCTTCGACGTTTCGGAGTCAGAATTGTACTGCTGCTGCTGCTGCTGTTGCTGTTGCTGCTGTTGTTTCTGTTGCTGCTTCTGCTGCTTCCTACCGCGCGTCCTGCTTTCATAGGGGCTGCCATCGATCGTAACGGGTTTCCGACTATCGTAGACCGGAAACCCGTCGTTCTCGAAACTGTTCCGCTTCGAATTATGTTTCAGGTCACCGTTCTGCCAGAGTTTGCTTTCGCAATAGGATTCGCTGTTCTTTACGTTCTCGATTTCCTTGATTGCGTCGCTCACCTTTTCCAGTTGCCGGCGATTTTCTTTGAGCGCCTTTTTCACAATCTGATCCTCAATCAGCAAGTTCACCGGGATCTTAGAAGCTAATCTCTCATCGCTTACCGCGCTTGTAAGTTTCTTCTTTGTCATTGTTTCGGCGAGTGCACTGTTCGCCGATAACCTACCGATATCTAAATCCGCCATATTAGACGCTGTCGAACCGTTGCAGTCTCTCGACTGGTCCAAACGATTCATTTGATCGTCCTCGACTGGCGACAATGGTAGTCGAGAAAATTCGATGTTGTCGCGCTCCTTGTCCTTATCCGAGATGTCGGATGCCTCTTCCTCTTCTACGGTGATTTCCAGCTGAGCCCGATTGCTGGCATCGTTGTTGATCGCCGGCATCGACTCGACTCGGATAAGATCCGGCGGTGGTACCGGAATCATAAATCTTACCGACGGCTCGTCCAGACTCTCCAGTTTGCCCTCCTTCAATAGACTTTTGATATTGTCAAAAGTGCTCGAGTATCGTTTTACATCCGATAATCGACTGCCTTTCTCGCCATTCTCGAAGGACAGACTCTTGGTCTTGGTCGGCGTTTTCGGTAGAACTTTGCGCTCTTTCTTGCGACCGCGTCTGATGACATAAGTGCCGTTTTTCGTAAGCTCCTGCGGCCGTATCTGATCGAGATCGTTCGTGGACGAATCCGAATAAGGCGAGATCAAATCGTCGTCAGTCGTTGATAGTCGCTGATCTTGCCAGTCGTCGAAGTCGCGCAACTTCGACACGGAACCTACACCTGAAACATGATCAATTCTTTTATCCATATCTTTACTCATCTCCTGCTGCTTGTGTAAATTGGCAGATGGAAAAATAAAGATAAAATTTGATTTTTTCATAACTGTGTTTGTTTGAAATTCAGATGAAAAAATGATTTCGTATATACAAAGTCGGAATAAATTAAGATAAATTTGAGATATGTGCAGATATGTTATTGTTAATAAAAAAAGTTAAGAATTTAAAAAAAAAGATATATATATATATATATATATTAAATAATGAAATATAATACTTATAATCGCCAGAAAGATTGTACACCGCTAGATTGATATATGTCTCATTTGAAGGTTTGGACGCAATATATATTACATTATTTTCCAAATTATTCGTTATTTAAAAAAAAAAAGAGGAGAACATCTTTTGATGATCACAGATCCCCTCTGGGTGGATGTGCCTCCAAGATTACAAGATAATCTTTATTTTTTTAAATGGAATATGTTTTTCCGTTTAGTTAGACATATAGCTTACGAATTTATTGACTTATGATATGTTGACCTTTAAGGTCTTTCAAAGTCATTTGCGATCGTTTAAGCTTTCCTATCGCTAAACGTCCAAAAATCATTCTTCTGTATTTGAAAGGACGATCTTGAACATTAATACATTGATTTATTCTATCCATAAATGATAATTCCACGCTCTTGAAAGTTGCCTTATTAATTTGTTGGCAGGCATTTCTAATCTGATCCTTCATATTTTTAGAAGTGGTTAGTTCTCTCTGGTAAACTTCTTTTATAAAGCCCCACAAAAAAAATTTAGAGATATTAAATCTGGGGACCTTGATGGGGATCCTACTTAAGAAACATGTTGTTCAATATTTCACGAACTCATTATGGGAGGGAACACCATCATGTTGAAACCATATCCGTATTCTAATAGCAAGTATGTCTTTCAAAAGGACTTTGAAAGTTGCAGTTGCTGAACTTTGCAGTTTATCGATCAGAAAATTATTGCAGATCCTGTTAGTGTATCATAAAAAAAGTAGAGATTCTATGTGTTCATCTACTATATATCACACCAAACATTTAACAATCGACATTGACAATCAACTGACCGGTGCCAATACAAATTCTCATTGGATTAATAATGATAATTGTATCAATTTAATTGTATCATTTTTGAAAGTGGCTTCATCCGAAGAGTACATAAGAAAAAAAGAAAGAGTCATGTAATGTTTTTTCCGTTGGGATCATTCACAAAACCGCATATCTGACAGCATATTCAGCATTAGATAATGCTTGATACAAAGAAATATAAAAAGAGTGAAAGTTTATTCTGGATGCACTAGATCATGACTCGTAATAATTTTCTATGTATGCCAAATATTGAGAGTTAAGAATACAGTCACTGCTCCTAGTATTACAATCGTTGAATTTTATGAGGGCTGCTTACGCTGATGTCGATATATTCTTGCCGAAATATCCTTGTCAAGCATAAAGTTTATGATCGATTTCGAAGTACCATTTCACTCGATAGTGCGATACGGAAAGGTTTCACGATACAACCGTGCAGCTTCCATGTAATTATGTTGACATTCTCCAAAAATCAGAATCGTATCGATAATTTTATAATTTTGTTAGATGTAGGGGAGACCGAGGTCAGTTGAATATAGAGGTAAGTAGAATAATCAAGGCTACATTAAAAAAACATACAAGACACGCGTAAACGTGTCTGAGCATGTAGCAGCGACTGCCGCTAAGTCTGTTGTAACATCTTGTTGTGAACACATCTATGATAGAAGTTATGCCACAATTTTAAAACATCGTACACCTAAGTAAATATTTTTATTTTTAAAGTTTTTGTTTTACAATCGTATATGTGATTGTCTGAAATATTTGATTTCTACTTAGATAGTAAGTGTAGTGTCTTACTTAATAAAGTCCAACAGATATTTTTTGTTTGTATATCTTTGTTATCGTATTGTTAATGTTTTTAAAAAATGAACGGATGGGGATAATTAACCATAGTATGGAACTGTATGAGTCATTTAGTGACGACTCTTATAATACTTATTCAAAATTTTATTCCTTTAAAGACATTTTCCTCAATGGTAAATGTTATAAATTTAATTCCCTCATGTTCAATCTCGAAAACTAGGCTTCGACGTGTTTTTGCACGAAATGAACAAATTTTGCAAAAAAAAATATTGTTTTGTCCTACGAAGCGAATTTGTGTTTAAAATATATTTTTATAAAAATTTTATTAATATATAGCCAAAGATGTAGCTTAAAATACATTAATCTTTAATAATCTTAGTCAAATTACCCCGGTCCCAGGGCTAGTTGAATCAGATGGAATGCATTAGAAAAATAAATTTTTTTTCATATTAGTTATTAGTTTCCTTTTATTATTAAAATATTATTAGGTAGTCAAATGTATGTAGTAACTGGTGTAGAATTTTTTCGATAAGTCTCTTAATTTTGTCTGTAAAAATTCGAAACTGAAAAATGAGTCTATTAGCCCCGATAATTTCTTCCGGTAATTTCTCCCCTATACTGAGTCATTATAAATTGAATTATTATCGAAACAAAGAACATGTAATGCTAGTACATGTAGTGCACAATATTTTTGAAGCGAATGTAACACGCTAGCAACAGGTACCTTTTGTTTGTAAACATAAACAAAAACGATAAACGAAAAGAAAATTTAAACAGTTGCAAATGACTTTGAATTGACCTTGAAAGGTTGACATATCGTAGGTCAGTAAATTCGTCATAAAATAGGCTATACGTCTTAGTTAAACGGAAACATATAATTAAAAAAAAAAAATAAAGATTGTCTTGAAATATTGAAGGCACGTCTAGAGAGGACCTATGACTATAAAAAAATATCCTCCTCGAAACAAGTAAGTTCAATTTGAAACATTTTTGTAATGACGAATAATTTGGGAGATTGCATCCGATATAGAAAAATTGTTTTTTTTTTTATGACAAGATAATGCTATCTCCAGAAGGTTGAACAATTCAACAAAATTACTTTTTCTAAACACCAAAAAGTATTATCTCCCTCTATTCTTCTGTAATTCTTTTTATATGAAATATAATTATACAAAATAGTCTATTACCAGGTGTATGCATAAGTTTTTTCCGGTTTAACTAAGAGATGGTCCCAGCGAAAAGTACGCAGCGTATTAATTTGACACATACGCTATTTTGTTCGTCTGACATTTAACTACAAACACACACAAGTTGAGTCCGCCAAAAACTAGCGTCTTTGTTTTATCGTTCAGTGATCATGTCGAGTTTTGTGCCTGAAAAAGAACATTTGCGGCACGCATTGCTTTTTTTATTTAATCAAAAGAAAAAGGCTGTTGAAAGTCATCGTTTGTTGATAGAAACATATAGTGAACACGCTCCATCGATTAGAACATGTGAGACATGGTTTTGACAATTTAAAAATGGTGATTTCAATATGAAAGACAGTGAGCGCTCTGGTAGACCACAAAAATGCGAAGACGAGCAATTGCAGGAGTTATTGGATTAAGACCCAACTCAAACTCAACGGCAATTAGCAGAAGCATTACATGTATCACAAGAAACAATCAGCAGACGTTTACGAGCAATAAAGAAAGATCAATAAACTCGGTAAATGGGTCCCACATAATTTTGAATGAACGTCAAATGGAAAATCGCAAAGTCATTTGTGAAATGCTGCTTCAACGCTACGAAAGGAAATCATTTTTGCATCGAATTGTGACAGGTGACGAAAAATGGATTTATTTTGAAAATCCGAAGCGGAAAAAATCGTGGCTTTCATCTGGCGAAGCCGGTCCATCAACACCACGGCCAAATCGCTTCGGCAAGAAGCCCATGCTCTGTGTCTGGTGGGACCAGAGCGGTATTGTGTATTATGAACTCTTGAAGCCCGGCGAAACCGTTAATCCACAACGCTATCGCCAACAAATGATTAATTTAAACCACGCATTAATCGAAAGACGACCGGAATGGGCCAGAAGACATGGCAAAGTGATTTTGTTACACGACAATGCGCCGTCTCACACAGCAAAACCAGTGAAAGACACCTTGAAATCGCTTGAATGGGACATCCTTCCGCACCTGCCGTACTCCCCAGACCTGGCGCCATCTGACTATCACCTCTTCGCATCAATGGGGCACGCGTTCGCAGAGCAGCACTTCAGCAATTTCGAGGAAGTTGGAAAATGTCTCGACGAATGGTTTGCCGCAAAAGACAAGCAGTTTTTCTGGCATGGTATTCATAAAATACCCTGAAAGATGGGCGAAATGTGTAGAAGCCGATGGCCAATATTTTGAATAAAAAAAAATTAATTTCTCTTGAAAATTACATGTTTTTTTTTTACCAAAAAAACCGGAAAAAACTTATGCATACACCTGGTATATCACAATTTCGAAAAATTATAAACTGAAGTTGCAAGAAAAATTTATCGTAAGATACTTTATCGGTCTCCTAAATTTGATGTCAATTTCTGTAAGAACTTCTCACAACATCTTTAATGATACAGATGCAACATTATGTATGTATGTATATATGTATATATTAGACCGTGAAGGAAAACAAAATTTTCTTTTTAATTAGCCTCCCGATTCAAAAGCTTCCATTTCCATGCCAAAAAATAAGCCAAAAGCATAATATGTCTTAAATTTTTATCAAAAAATTAAGATTTAGAGGTAGCTAGTGAATGAACATCAAATTTTCGATTTTCTTTAATATATGTATGTTCAATTTGATGCGAAAATGCTTAATCCGAGTTTTAAATATGATAATGTATGTTTTTTTTTGGTCGCTGAACACGATAATATATATATTATTATAATATATATATATATTAATAATTATTAATTAATAATATATATATTAATATATATATTATCGTCGCCCATAATTTATTTAACTCTACGATACACGCTTTAAAAATATAGCCCGATTAATGTGAAAAAATGACTAAATTTTGAGTTCAAGATTAATTTTATCAGGGTTCTATGC